TTTTAAAATCTGTGGCCATGAATTTAAAGTGTCAGCATGGCTCGTGCAAGCAAGTTGGGTTTAACCAGGAAAGTGGGACAATGGGAGGAGATAAAGGAGGTAAAAATATTTATAAGGGGGTGACCACGTTAATGTACATGGAAATCAAAGTAGCTGAGCTGGAAGGGGTAAGGGGGTGATCAGATTTTGGAGGTGATAGTGTTGTGAACAAGGCAGGGGGATGAGAGGCTGATGTAGGGTGGGAAAAAATGATCACTGGAGGTGAAGAGGTCAACTGTGATGCCAAATTATTAAATGAATCAATCATCGTTGTGGATGTTGGTACCTAAAAGTAAACTTTTGACTTTTCCAGTCTTTCTGTTAGTGGTTCCCATTACTAAAGTCAGAAACTAAGAGTCACCTTGACTTCTCTCTTCCTCACTCCCAATCCACTCCTGTTGCTACTTCCTCTTAAGTAAATCTCAGACTACTCCATTCCCCTCATCTACTCTTTTACCCTAGTCCATGCCAGCATTATCTCTTTCCTGAACTATTCAACCTCTCAACTGGTGTTCCTGCCACCATTGTTGACCTGTTTTCATCAGTTTTTCACAGAGCATACATGTTTAAGAATAAGTCTGATCACATCACCCCTTGCTTTTATAAACCTGCAGTGGCTTCCCAGTACCATTGACTCAAGACCAAACTCTTCCAAAACCCCACAGGGTCTGGACCCTCTGCTTACCTCTCTAATGATAGCTCATACTACTTTCTTCAGTGATAATAGTTTTTAGCCCTACAGGCCTCATTTTTGTCTCTTGAACAAGTCAAAAGTTTTCCTGCTTCTTGGGCACTGCTCTCACCTCTACCTAGTACATGTTCTTTCAACTCTTCCTAGCTGCATCTGTCTCATCCATTACTTCTCAATTTAATAAAAACAGCTCAGTTTGTACTTTTTGCTACACACTAGCAACTGTATTTTTTGTTGTTGTTGTTGAGACGGAGTCTCGCTCTGTCGCCCAGGCTGGAGTGCAGTGGCCGGATCTCAGCTCACTGCAAGCTCCGCCTCCCGGGTCCACGCCATTCTCCTGCCTCAGCCTCCCGAGTAGCTGGGACTACAGGCGCCCGCCACCTCGCCCGGCTAGTTTTTTGTATTTTTTTAGTAGAGACAGGGTTTCACTGTGTTAGCCAGGATGGTCTCGATCTCCTGACCTCGTGATCCGCCCGTCTCGGCCTCCCAAAGTGCTGGGATTACAGGCTTGAGCCACCGCGCCGGGCCTTTTTTTTTTAAAGAGGGTCTTACTATGCTGCTTAGGCTGCTCTCAAACTCCTGGGCTCAAGTGATCTTCCTGTCTCAGCCTCCCAGTGTGCTGGGATTGGAGGCATGTGTCACCACACTCAGCCTGTACCTATATTCCTAATCTTCATTGCAACCTTGTGAAATAAGTGGCATTATATACATCCCCATTTTATGGAAGAGGAACCTAAGCTCTGGTTGAAAGTAACTTGCTGAAAGTCACATAGCGAGTGAGCTCAGATAAACTTAAATGTACCTCAGAAGGCCTTCCTGAACACTTAGTCTAGATAGGTTCTCCCATTTCTCTTTATTGCATAAACCATTTTATTTCTTGGTAGCATGTAACATAATTTAGTAATTTTGTGTTTTTTTCCATCCCTCTAGAATTAAGCTTTCTGAGGTCAGGAACTTAATCTGTCTGGTTTACTTCCTCTTGAGTAGCCAGGACTGTAGGTGTGTGCCACCACACTCGACTAATTAAAAAATTTTTTTTGTAGAGATGAGGTGTCACTATATTGCCCAGGCTGGTTTTGAACTCCTGAGCTCAGGTGGTCCTTCTACCTTGGCCTCTCAAAGTGTTAGTATTACAGGCATGAGCCACTGTGCCCAGGCCTGGTTTACCTTTCTTCTCTTCTCTTTTTTTTTTTGAGACAGTTTCGCTCTTATTGCCCAGGCTGGAGTGCAATGGCACCATCTTGGTTTACCACAACCTCTGCCTCCTGGGTTCAAGCGATTCTCCTGCCTCAGCCTCCTGAGTAGCTGGGATTACAGGCCTGCACCACCATGCCCGGCTAATTTTTGTATTTTTAGTAGACTCGGGGTTTCGCCTTGTTGGCCAGGCTGGTCTTGAACTCCCGACCTCAGGTGATCTGCCCACCTCAGCCTCCCAAAGTGCTGGGATTACAGGCCTGTCCACCACACCCGGCCACCTAGTTTACTTTTCTAATCTTTAGTGCCTAGCATATTGCCTTGCATAGAGTGGGGACTTCATAAATGCATATTTTTGAATGAATAAGTTGTCTCAGAGAGTAGCCCTTCTTAGAAGGGGTGAATTTAGAGTTAAACTTCTTACCCATTTAAGCCATGTTGCTTGATCCTGCTATACCTTTTCAGTCCCCGCATCAGAGACTTCTCCTGGGCCTCCCCCAATGGGGCCTCCACCTCCTTCAAGTAAGGCTCCCAGGTCCCCACCTGTGGGGAGTGGTCCTGCCTCTGGTATGGAGCCCACAAGTTTCCCAGTCGAGTCTGAGGCTCTGATGGAGGATGTGCTGAGACCTTTGGAACAGGCATTGGAAGACTGCCGTGGCCACACAAGGGTAAGCCCTGGCACATCAGAGGTTAGAGAGGGCTTCCATCCACAGCCAAATGCAGGAATGGCTCCCAGAGATAGACCCTCTGACCCAATGGACAATGGCTCTTAGTCCTTTTAGAGTTATGGACTCCTTCAGAATTTGCTAAGGCCTTCCCAGAGAAATGAACACAGGATTTCAGGAGCATTAACAGACTTTTGAAGACCAATCAGTAGAAGATGCTGTGGGAACAAGAGTTGAATTCAGCTCCTATTAGTGAACAACCTGATTTTCTGTACCTCCATGCCATTCAGAGTAGACCCGGCTGATTTTATTCTCAGGAAATTTATATTGTGCCCAGTTAGGAAGAAAGAAACCTCTTCTAGCTATAGTGTTTTCTTAGTTCTTAGAAAAAGAGATCTGAAGAATGTCTTAAAGGGAAAGTAGCATGGGTAATTTCACCTCTTTGGCTCTTAGTTTTCTTTTTGTGAAGTAATGCTACAGGATGAGCTTCTGAGAGTCTGAGAAGCCCCTGAAATTTTAAAATTCTAGTCATAGGAGGAGGTGGGTTAGGAGGACTGGTGGTGGGAAGATGAGAGAGTTCCATTTAATGGCCTCTACTTTTCAATGAAACATCAGGCAGTGTCAGAAGACGACAGCAGGGGAAGGCAGGCTTCATCAGGTTCTCAGTGGGGCCTCTAATCTTCGGGTAAAGAACCAGAACTCTAAAGTGTGGGCTAGAGAAAGCAGGTGCTTCCTATGTGGTGCTGCCCTCCTCTCTCTTCCCCTCATTGGGCTGGCAGCACTGAACTGGAGGGGGGGCTTCTGTCTCTTAGAAGCAGGTATGTGATGACATCAGCCGACGCCTGGCACTGCTGCAGGAACAGTGGGCTGGAGGAAAGTTGTCAATACCTGTAAAGAAGAGAATGGCTGTACTGGTGCAAGGTATGGGTGGGTTCTTTGATATAGCCTAAATCCCTTGTCCTGCTGTGGTTGGCTGTGCTGGAGCAAGTGCTGAGATTTTGATTGACTGGGAGGGGAGGCATGGAAGCTCTTGTACCACAGGCTGCTTGCTCAATCCCCATCTCTCTTCAGAGCTTTCAAGCCATCGGTGGGACGCAGCAGATGACATCCACCGCTCACTCATGGTTGACTATGTGACTGAGGTCAGTCAGTGGATGGTAGGAGTTAAAAGATTAATTGCAGAAAAGAGGAGTCTGTTTTCAGAGGAGGCAGCCAATGAAGAGAAATCTGCAGCCACAGCTGAGAACCACACCATACCAGGCTTCCAGCAGGCTCCATAATCCTCGGTTCCGCAGACTCACCGGACACCATCTCCTATGCCTTGGAGGCCTTCTCTCACTTGGCTCCCTTCTTACCACCAACAAGACTGTCCCACTGGGCCTGACCCACCTATAAGGGAAGAGGTCCCACCTGGGCCAGAGGGAGTTCATGTGTTACTCGTAACATGCATTTCAATAAAAACATTTCTGTGGTGGGCCTTGGGTAGGAGAGAGGAACCCTTCCTGTGCCAAGCTAGTCCCCTCTGGTGTCCTCGACTGCTGTGCCCCCTGTGCATCTGCAAACGTCTGTTCTCCCTTCTCCATTCATCAGGAAGGGATCTGCTGGGTACAGTCAGACTACTGCCTACCTCTTTTTCCCAAATTAGACTGAAAGCACATCCTGTGCTGGGTGGAGCAGCTCTGTGTTTGGATGGTTTCATTTCAGCATGAGAACAGACTCAAATAGAACAGGGAGACTTTTCCCTCAACAAAAAGAAAGACAGTCCTATTTGCACTGTATCACCCTTGAGATACAGGTGTTACAGAGATTAGAACCACACTGAGTGGGGTTTTTGCTGTATAAATCAAAGGAGAAAAAGACCAGATTACTGAGATTTGGGATTTTAACTGACATGCCAAACAAGCTGCTGCCTCATTTTGGGTTTCACTGTGAACTCTAAGGTCTCTTATAACCCTTTGAGAGAGGTACTTGGTGGATTATCATGCTGTGAGAAGGGAGGGTACAAGGTTTTTGGTGTTGGAATAGAGGAACTGGTACTTAGAGATGGTAAGCAGAAAAGGCATGGGGGGAGACTGGGGATGGCTATAGGCTGGGACAGCCCCTGTTTTCCAAGAGTCCTGCTTTGGAATGGATAGGGGAGGGGTTGCTGGGCAGGGTCCTGGTTCCAGGAAGGCTGCTTCCTGGAAAGACAAGAACAGCCCTTGGCAGCGGCCAAGCTATTGCTGTTTATGGTTTGGAGGCTCATGTAACCTGCCACTGTAGTATGCCTCAGGTTCTAATTGCTGCTGGAAGTGGGCCTAGTGGGAACTGGGAATGGATCTGAGGCCTCTGAGCTTAACCAGGCCTGCCAGGGCCCTCAGCTGTGTGGCTGAGATGAGAAAATAAGCATTGAGAACACTGGAGCCAAGGCATTTCTTTGAATGTTTACTAAGCAGCCAGAAGGTGACTTACTCCATTCCCCAGTTCCAGCCCCTGAGCATAGAGGGTTTAGGGTTGGGAGGAGTACCACAGACCGAAGAGGAAGTAGAGTTAAGGGCTTGGCGAGTTGCCCACTCCTATCCCTGGTCTAGCTGCCTCAGAACTAAAGGAGGCCTGGAACTAACAAGTCACTCCCTTCCAGATTAGATGAGGCCAGCTGGCCTTTGGATGCCCCAGGAAGAGGTGGTGGCAGCAGTGGCATGAGGGATCCCTCTGTAACTCCACATGCCGGGTCATCTGCAACTGGATGAGATGTCCATTTCAAATTGAGCGTCATCTGGAGAGAGAAAAGACAGGAGGACAGGTTGCTGGTCTGAGGATCTGCAGGCAGTGCAGAAACCCCTCTTGGAATTGAACCCCCACACTGTGTCACAGTGGCATTTGAACTCAAAGGCTGGGACAATTCTTAATTCCTGCTTTCCTTACCGGGTATCTCTTCCTCTGTCTCCTGCTCCTTCAGCTCCTCCAGCTTGGAGAGAGGGGCTGTTGGAGGAGTTGTGACCCCGGGAATCTGAGGGAGGCAGCAGGGGGGTGTCCGGGCAATGGGTGAGTTCTTGCACTCCAGCAGGAACTTTCGGTCGTAGATGATCCTGGTGCCTGTCAAGGGGTTGGGACTGAGGTAAGAGTCAGGAGCTTGGGTACAGAGGTGACTGGGGTCCCAGACTCAGGCCTTTTGGGGCCTGGACGTGAGGGTGGTGTTGAATTTCCCTGTGTATCAAAGGACATCTGCTCTGAAGCCCAGCTAGGTTCTCAGCAGATAAGCTTTCATAGTGCTTAAAATCTTCCAGACCTAACCAAGATGTGGGTATAAAGCAAGTGGGGCATCCCAGCTGGTATAGGCAGGGGCTTTATGTTTGGGGGAGCTTCAGATCTTGGCTGTAAGAGGAACACCAAACTTGGAGTTCAGGTACTTCATGCTGCTCCTCTACCACTCTGAAACCTTGCTTTGGTCTCACCAGTGAAGGTGAGACCTAGACTAACAGCCTCAGGTGATTCAAGAAATGAAATAGTTGTGAAGGGTTCCACCCAGTGCTGTCACCTGGGCTATCTCCTGCCGGGAGGAGAAACAGTACTGTTCTAATCCTGACCCCTCCCAGGTCCTATAAGGTTCATACTAGCTCAGAGGAACTTGGCCACATAATGTCCTCAAAGGGCCCTGCCCTGTTCCTCCCCTCCACTTCCGCGTGGCAGGAATCCCTGGGTCGGGAGCCCAGCAGCTCGTGATCCCAGGCTGCTCGCCCAACCAAACAGACGCCAGCCAGCAACACATAAACGGAGCAACTGCCCCAACTGTTCTAGCCATTGCACTTCTCAAGACCCAGTGTTTCCAGCTGAGGTCACGCTCAGTAGGGGGCCCTGGCCCCTATTCCTAGGAAGCCCTGGCCCCTATTCCTAGGAAGCAAAGTCGTGAGGGGTAAGGAGCACGTGTAAGGCGCCAAGAACCCAGGCCACAATGAAGGATTACAGCCCAAACACACGGAAGTTAGGCTCATGGCCTCGTTGCATCACTTAGAAGTTTTTGGGAACTGAGCTTCCGCTCCAAACATTCTCCCCCAAAGCTACCTGTAGAGGGGCCTGCAGACAAGTCCTAGGCCTGTCCCTCCCCTACCCCCGACCCGCAACAACAAGCACACGCTAATATGCCCACAGCCTGTGGACCCCTGCCTGGCCCGCTGACCCCCCGGGGTAGTGGCGTATAGCGTGCCCCCCGGCGTGGTGCTGTAGCAGTCGGGCAGCTGGTCCCGGCCCCAGGGAATCGGGCAGCTAGTGGACGTTGACATAGCGAGTGGGAGGGGCAGCAAAGTAACCGCCTGGCGTTGAGGTCGAGGGGCGCAGCTCTGAGTCTGAGGCGGACTCAACCGACCACGTGCAGCTGCTGGTAACACTAGAACAACATCATGCCCAGGGCGGGCCACGCGGTCACTCAACCTGACAGTCCCGCCCTATCCGATAGGAAACCTGCCCGGTTCAGAGAAAGCTGGAAATGCGTCCAAAGTCCCAGGCCCCGCACCGGCTTCCAGTTCCTGCTGGCCCAGAGCTGGCCAACCTGCCTCTGAGTGCTGCAGCAGCTCAGCTATTTACTGTTCATAGCTGGGAGCTGGGGGCAGGCGAAGTAGGGCAAGCATTTTTATCCTGTACTAGTTCACCCATTCCTCGCCAGCTTTTGGATAGTAAAGCACTATGATTAGCCAAAGTCACACATCTTGCAGGAAGGGAAGCTGGGATTCAAATCTGACTGCATCTGATTCCAGGACTGTGCCCTTAAACCCAGCAGTGTACTGCCTCCCATAAACAGTAACAGTACAAGGCCGGGTGCTCATGCCTGTAATCCCAGCACTTTGGGAGGCTAAGGCGGGTGGATTGCTTGAGCCCAGGAGTCTGAGACCAGCCTGGGCAACATGGTGAAACCTAGTCTCTACTAAAAATACAAAAGTTAGCCGGGTGTGGCAGCATATGCCTGTGGACCCAGCTACTCAGGAAGCTGAGGTAGAAGGATGGGTTGAACCCAGGGGGTGGAGGTTGCAGTGAGCGGAGATCGCGTCACTGCACTCCAGCCTGGGTGACAGAGCGAGACCCTGTCTCAAAACAAAAACAGTACGGGGTGAAACATGCCTTGATGGCCTGGAGCACAGCAGGAAAGGGAAGGTCAGGGAGGGCTGGTCATCTTTCTGAAGAAGTGGTACCTGGACTAATAAAAGGATGAGTCAAGTTTGGGGGCTACAGCTGAGGCATCACCAGTCAGGAGGCCTGCCCTTTGATCTCTCTACCAGTTAACTAAGGAGGGGCAGGGGGCTAGTGAGGAGGGCTTGGTCTTTAGTTAGCAGGAAAGAAAGGTCAAAGAGTTTGACCTTGGAGGTAAGTTTTTTTTATGTAGATATAGTGATAAGACAGGCTGGAGCGAATTGGTGGGATTGGTGAAGATGTATATACACTGGAAATCTTGAATTCATCCAGCTGTCCTCTGTTTGGCTTCCTCAAAATCAGTACTGCCTCCACTGTCCCTTCCCCTCACCAAAAATTAAGTATAGACCACCTGACTGTACCCATTTATCAATATTCTCTCAGCTCTGGTTTAATCAGATTTCTCCTTAGGTCTGATTTCTTCACTCATTTAAAAAAATATTGCTTCTCAAACTATTTATTTTCTGAGATAGGGTTTTGCTCTGCTGCCCAGGCTGGAATGCAGTGGTGTAATCTCAGCTCACTGCAAACTCTGCCTCCTGGGCTCAGGGCATCATCCCACCTCAGCCTCCTGAGTAGCTGGGACCACAGGCGCCTGCCATCACAGTGGGCTAATTTTGGTATTTTTTGTAGAGACAAGGTTTCACCATGTTGCCCAGGCTGGTCTCAAACTCCTGAGCTCAAGTAACCTACCTGCCTCGGCCTCCCAAAGTGCTGGTATTGTAAGTGTGAGCCACCACACCTGGCCAGCTTCTCAAACTTTAATGTGCATATAAATCATCTGGAGATACTGTTTTGTTTTTTTTTTTTGGTTTTTTTTTTGAGACGGAGTCTCGCTCTGTCGCCCAGGCTGGAGTGCAGTGGCCGGATCTCCGCTCACTGCAAGCTCCGCCTCCCGGGTTTACGCCATTCTCCTGCCTCAGCCTCCTGAGTAGCTGGGACTACAGACGCCTGCCACCTCGCCCGGCTAGTTTTTTGTATTTTTTAGTAGAGACGGGGTTTCACTGTGTTAGCCAGGATGGTCTCGATCTCCCGACCTCGTGATCCGCCCGTCTCGGCCTCCCAAAGTGCTGGGATTACAGGCTTGAGCCACCACGCCCGGCCGAGATATTGTTAAAATGAGAATTCTGACACAGTATTGGTCTGGGGTGAGATTTTGGATTTTTTTTTTTGAAACAGGGTCTCGCTGTCACCCAAGCTGGAGTGTAGTGGTACAATCATGGCTCACTGCAGTCTCAACCTCCTGGGCTCAGGTGACCCTCCCACTTCAGTGTCCTGAATATCTGGGACCACAGGTGCATGCCACTGTACCTGGCTAATTTTTAAATTTTTTGTAAAGGCGGGGTTGCACTATGTTGCCCAGGCTGGTCTCAAACTTGTGGGCTCAAGTGATCCTCCCACCTTGGCCTCCCAAAGTGTTGAGATTACAGGCATGAGCCACTGAGCCCAGCCAATTGTGGATTTTTTTTTTTTTTTGAGATGGAGTTTCACTATTGTCGCTCAGGCTGGAGTGTAATGGCATGATCTTGGCTCACCACAACCTCCGCTTCCCAGGTTTAAGCGATTCTCCTGCCTCAGCCTCCAGAGTAGCTGGGATTATAGGTATGCACCACCACACCCAGCTAATTTTGTATTTTTAGTAGAGACAGGGTTTCTCCATGTTGGTCAGGCTGGTCTTGAACTCCCGACCTCAGGTGATCCACCTGCCTCGGCCTCCCAAAGTGCTAGGATTACAGGTGTGAGCCACCACACCTGGCTGATATTTTTCTTTTTAAGATGGAGTCTTGCTCTGCCACCCAAGCTAGAGTGCAGTGGCATGATCTTGGCTCACTGCAACCTCTGCCTCCTGGCTTCAAGCAATTCTCCTGCCTCAGCCTCCCGAGTAGCTGGAATTACAGGCACCCACCACCACACCTGGCTAATTTTTTGTATTTTTAGTAGAGACCGGGTTTCACTATGTTAGCCAAGCTGCTCTCGAACTCCTGATCTCCAGTGATCTGCCTGCTTTGGCCTCCCAAAGTGCTAGAGTTACAGGTATGAGCCACCAGGCCTGGCTGCAATTGTGAATTTTTAATACAGTAATGCAAATGCTTCAGGGCCTCAGAAACACACTTCAGGTAGCAAGGGTTTGCATACTTTATTGTCCCGAAAAGGATTTTGGGTGTCTTACAAAATGGTGCATGCCAAAATGAAGTGTCTTAGCAGTGCTGGAGGGTAAAGCTTGGGAACAGATTGCAGTGAATCATTTATGATAACTCACCTTTTATACAAGGTGAGAAAGTGTCTGACGGGGAATGTGAGAATAGCGTGGAGGATGGTGAGATTTGAGGGTGGAGAGTCTAGCCTAGTGAAACCAGGTGGGGAAATGGGTGGTGGCTGTGAGGATGGAGAGAAGTGGATGAGATTCAGATACACAGAGGAAGAATAAAGTGACTGATTAAGAGTGGGGTGAGAGAAAGTGTAAACTAGGATAATTTTCAGTCTTTTGGCTTGAGAGTCTTGGTGGCTAGTAGCACCAACTAATATGATAGGGAAAACAAGAAGAGCAGCATATCTTATGTGAGAGAATGAATAATATGTGTCCAGATGGAGCACAGTAGGAAGCTAGATATACTGAAGCCATGGGGAGAACTCTGAGTTAGTGGCTCAAATTTGGGTGGTGTGAAATTCAAGAGTGTGGGGATGGGCTAGGATTGGTGGCTCACACCTGTTAATTCCAGCATTTTGGGAGGCTGAGGTGGGAGGACTGCTTGAGCCCAGGAGTTCAAGACCTGGGCAATACAGCAAGACCCTATCTCCATTTATAACTAAATAAATGTGGGATGAGATCATCTGGGGAGAAGATACAGTATAGAAACCTGGGCATATCAACATTTATTTATTTAAAAGGTAGTAGAGAAAAATAATTCACCAAAAGAGACTGAGAAAGATGAGTCGGAAATAGGAGAATCAGGAGAAAAGTATCAAAGATTTTCAAGAACGGTCATTGTGGAAGTGAGGTCTTCCTTCTATTAATCTCTACCACAAAATAACAGCCGCAGTTACTACTACTATAATGACTACTGCTTGCAGCTAACTCTTCTGGAGTCACTGTGTGCTGTAAGAGCTGGGGAATACGTAGCTGGCTTTAGAGAGAAAGCCAGACTCATCATCCATGCAATCTGGATGAAGAAACAAGAATTTAAATCAGAGGGTCAATACTAATTACTGGCTGGGCAAGGTGGTTCATGCCTGTAATCCCAGCACTCTGGGAGGCTGAGGCAGGCGAATCATTTGAGGTCAGGAGTTCAAGACCAGCCTGGCAAACATGGAGAAACCCCATCTCTACTAAAAATACAAAAATTAGCCAAGTGGTGGTGTGCGCCTGTAATCCCAGCTACTTGGGAGGCTGAGGTAGGAGAATTGCTTGAACTCAGGAGGCAGAGGTTGCAGTGAGGCAAGATGGCACCACTGCACTCCAGCCTAAGCAACAGAGTGAGACTCCGTCTCATTAAAAAATAAAAACCAACTAATTACCTATTAGAATATAGAAGTGTTTAAAAATACCTATGCCCAGGCCCCACCCTAAACCTATAAGGAAATACCAGGCCTCTGTTATCAGGCAAATTACTCTGGATTCACATTTAAGCGTTTGATTCATGATCTTCTTTTCCAAATTAGGTGTTGAAGCCCAGGGTCATGCCTTTTATTGGAGGTGGTCTTAACACACTTAAGTTTTTGATACTTAAAACCACCTTTCTCTCACCCATTGCCTGAAGGAGAGGATGGAGGCACATGAACCTGCCTGTTTGCAAATGACAAATCACTGAGGATAAATGGAAAATGCAGTATTACCAGAGCCCCTCACTATAGGGGGCAGGGTCCACTGGGAAGACATCATAACCAGTTGTATGTCTTGGTAGAAATGCTTCTTGCTAGAGAACAAGATGTTCATTCAGAAGCTGTTCATTCAGAAGCTGTTTACCTACAGGCTTGCTTGCCTTTTCTTGGATTTACAATGTGGTCAAAGGCCTTTTTGTTTTTGTTTTTGTTTTTCATTAGATGAAGTCTTGCTCTTATCACCCAGGCTGGAGTGCGATGGCACGATCTTGGCTCACTGCAACCTCCGCCTCCTCGGTTCAAGTGATTCTCCTGCCTCAGCCTCCCGAGTAGCTGGGATTACAGGCGCATACCACCACACCCGGCCAATTTTTGTATTTTTAGTAGAGACAGGGTTTCACCATGTTGGCCAAGCTGGTCTCGAACTCCTGACCTCAGGTGATCCACCCGCCTCGGCCTCCCAAAGTGCTGGGATTACAGGCATGAGCCACCGCGCCCAGCCCCAAAGGTCTTAAACAGTGGGACAGAACCACATATACTAAGTACTTCTCTCTCTGGCTTGAAATTATAATGTAGCCAGCCTTTCCCCCCTTTTTTTTTTTTGAGACAGAGTCTTACTCTGTCGCCCAGGCTGGACTGCAGTAGTGTGATCTTGGCTCACTGCAGCTTCTACCTCCTGTGTTCTAGCGATTCTCCTGCGTCAGCTTTCTGAGTAGCTGAAATTACAGGCACGTGCCACCACACCTGGCTAACTTTTTTTTTGAGATGGAGTCTGGCTCTGTCGCCTAGGCTGGAGTGCAGTGGTGTGATCTTGGCTCACTGCAAGCTCTGCCTCCCGGGTTCACACCATTCTTCTGCCTCAGCTTCCCGAGTAGCTGGCACCCGCCACCACACCTGGCTAATTTTTTATATTGTTAGTAGAGATGGGGTTTCACTGTGTTAGCCAGGATTGTCTCGATCTCCTGACCTTGTGATCCGCCTGCCTCAGCCTCCCAGAGTGCTGGGATTATAGGCGTAAGCCACCATGCCCGGCCAACTTTTGTATTTTTAGTAGAGACAGGGTTTCACCATGTTGCCCAAGATGGTCTCAAACTGCTGACTTCAGGTGATCCACCCACCTCGGCCTCCCAAAGTGCTGGGATTACAAGCGTGAGCCACCATGCCCGGCCTCCCCTTCTATAAGTTAACTAAAACTGAGGATGGTTCTCTCTTGCACAGTTTTGGGATTGGGAGGAGGACTTGGCCAGAATCTACATGAAGAGAGGGAAACCATAGTTCCAAGTCCTAAAATGTCTTACCTCTGATTAGGAGAGGCCACTATCGGCCGTCCAATTCTCTTCTTCGGTCTGGTTAGCTGAGGTGATGGGATTTCCCCTTTGAGAGCAGGGACTGAAGGAAGCAGACTGGCCTATAAAAGGGCAAGTCAGCACACTGTAGCCACAATAGGTTTAAAGGGTCTTAAAACATCAATAATTTTATTGGTAGCGGAATTTTATTACATTGAACACAAGTTGAAATAAGTGGGTCCAGAAACCTTGATGATATAGTTTCATTCCTATAGTTTCATTTCACTGGGTTTGATCTATACCTTAGCAGGATGTTTCTTCGTGACTTGAAGGCTCACTAAAGATGTGCAAGGTCTTCTACCTCCACTAAAATCTCAATACTGGCCCCCATAATAATGGCAGGATTTATTTCGATTCCTCATCAGAACCAATGCTAGGGGCTCTCTAACTTCAGCACTGTAAACAATCTAATGGCTTCTAATATTTCCATATCTTATATTCTTATTCACAAGAAGAAATCCTGTGTTAGAACTAGAAGACTCTTGAGTTCAATTTCAGATGAGAAAAGTGAAGCCCAGAAAGGTGAGATGATTTGCCTAAGGCCATAAAGCTTCAAGTGGCAGAAATGAAAATAGAATTTAGGCTCTGACTACTGTTCCACTGTACCCATGCTGTCTCCTCCCATATCCCTTATATATTTTGAAAGTAATTAAGTTCTTACCTGAGCTAGGTTTTATCCAAATGTTCAGGTTGGTAAAATAGCAGTAAAGTAGTGCCAGGAAGAGGCAGGCAGAGGAAGAAGAGATTTAGCAGGCGAAATGAGGTTGGGAGCAGGCTACTGGGATCCAAATAGTCAGAAAGAAAGGAAGGAAGTGCTGGTAAGAGGGAAGGGAGGAGCGTATCCTAAAGAACTACTCCCAACTGCACAACTGTTGTTTTCCTCCCAATTTTCCTAGGGATTCCTCATAATTATCTCCTTTCTCTTCATAAATTCTAGTTACTGACCTGAAATAAAATTTCTCATTTGGTTGTCCTCAAGGTGCGGAATATGGACTTAAGGGCTCCTCCAGACAATTCAAATGTATTGCAGACAGTTAAGATAGAATAAAACTCACCTTTTTGTCTCACTCAATAATTTATTTAGTATTATTTCTCACTAGTATATATTTCATCAAGAGTAGTTTCATTCATTTCACCAATTTTAGGTGATTTTTCTTGTTGCTGTTAATGTTAAGTGGAAACAGCAAGATATACAAGTGATCCAATGAGTCTTTTGTGCCCCACCCAACTGCCCCCACAAAGGTCAAGGGGCCCCTTAATGATACTTGATGTGGTTATCAATCACTACAGAGATATAAACAAAACTTTCAAAATCCATTCAAAACACAAAATAAGACATAAGCTTAATTAAGGAAGCTTTTCTCATATGTAAGGTGATATAGAAGATAAAAGAAGCAGGTATATCTGACACAGATCAAACATAGTGTGCCTGATGTGGTCCTAGCTTTAGGACCTGGGCAGAGAAAATTAAGAATTCCTGTTGGCATGAGTGTAGAAAGGTGCTGCTAACATAGTTCTGTCCCTAGTTACTACTTTTTTTCTGTGCATCCGTCTTTGCCTTGATATGAGTTTTGGCTTCTCTATCAGCTCCAAACATTTTCTTGTTTTCTTTTCTGTATTGCCTATACTGACCAGAAAAAATTCAGCTTTATTAAAACACAAGTAAGTTGATGACTATACTTTTCAGTGGGATAACTTTTCCTTCTCGGCATAGCCTATGGTTTGGCCAAAGCAGCCCATTCCAGGGTTCCTCTGTTTAGCTTGTTAAACATATTGATTCCATGCTTAGGGCCATGGAACTAAGTATTACTTAGTTACACGTAACTAAGTAAAATGTATGTAACTACATGTAAAACTTACAGAATTACTCACATATTTATAAACATTACTTTATATTATATACATTATATACATTATAATGTATATAATATATAATGTTATATAATATAACATATTATATTATATATTATATATAATGTATATAGTATAATATATATACATTATAAACATTACTCGTCTAATTCAATAATACAACAGAACGATGGGAGTCACCTCCCTCTTATGTCCCAACTCATATAAAACTTAAAATATCTATAACCGGATAAATCTTTCAGATAAAAAAGGTCAGGAAGCACAGAAAGAACCTGAAGTTGATAATTTGGGTGTCCCTACATTTGTTTAGTGTCATCTGATTTAAATCCAATTGTTCTTATTGACATTCTCAAGATCCACAGAGAAAAAACCTATCAGTGGCCTATCTGCTAGCTAAAGTCAGATAAGACACATTGCCAGAGCTTGAAACTTTCTCCTATGTTAAAGGATATAGAAGACAACAAGGGAACAAGGAATGTTTAACACAGAATAAATAGGTAAATAGTCTTAAAAGTGCTTTTTCAAGGCAGTCTAAGAAGGGACTCAAGTGTTAAATGTGAGAAGCCTGTTACAAATATAGTATTAACCATCTGGTTCAATATAATGTGGATCGGGTGGTACCTGCATGACCACTGAAAGGATCACACCCCACTTCTAAAGACTGTTCATCTTTTTATTGAATATTCTGGTAAATATTTCACATTAATACAGGCTACATTACGTAGAGCCACTATATGACAAGAAATTTACTCAACCTTTTCCTTTTAAGTATGTAAACAATTATACATGTATTTATCACCCTAAAAGGTTGAAACATGTAATCAACTAATTCTCTTCTGCATACAAGTAGTATTCAGTATGTTTAGCCAAAAGCACTAAGGTCATATGATCTTAAGTTCAAAATGGCTAAACTAACCAGAGAACATAACCAGGTGGATAGGAAATCAATTTGTTCTTATACAATGGGCAATCAAATTTCCATTGCTAAAGCCTCAGAGAAAATTTCTTAGGCACATTAAAAAAAAATCCCCATAGTTCTTCCAAGGTCATAGGTTTCTTAAACAAGGCTAAAGAGTAAAGACCTTCTAACTTAGTTGACATATTTGAGATGCATGTTTCCAATATGAGGTGCCCACGTGCCAGGCCAAATCTGAAAAGGGGGAGGAAAAATTGGAATTTCTAATTAGGAATCTTTAGACAGTTACAAAATGAATATATAAATGCAATGGCAATTCACTGTTTCTGCCTAGGAAGAATACACATATATGAAATAAAGTGTTCAGTAGCATCATCTTGATATTGAAAAAGCAATCCAGATCGAAATGGTCAATTATGACTTTTGATATTCAGTACTTATACTTCTCACAAAACAAAAAGAATGATGTGATAAATCTAAAAAATAAAAGAGCATTAAGCCCATTTTACCTGCTGGGCATCAGTGCATTCAGTTGAATTTTGGATAACTTTTATCATAGGGTTCCAAGCAGGATCTGGGTTGTGAAGTCCATTAAACAGAGGGCCTCCTGGAACATCAGCAAGCTGAGGATGAGAGGGTATTATGGTGCCTCCATACATGGAAATTGGCAGACCCTAAAACAGCAGGAAAAAAGATTTAATCATAAAATTACTATAAATCCCATAATAGCAGCTTAGACTTCTCTAATTTTCCTCATTTAAAGAACTCCAAAAGATCCTATAAGTACAGTATGGCAGTGTTGAGAAAACAAAATGTTTATCTGCATCTGCAAGGCTTTTCAACAAAAAAGAAGAGAGAGAAAAAAACTAAATCCAACATGAAATCATCAGGACATTTCTCATATTTGATAAAAATAACCTCAACTAACTTTCCCATATTTTAGTTTCATGAATAAGCTTAAGCTAAGAAGAAAATGGGAACTCCACATGATTGCTTGCCAACATAAAGCTGTCAGAGCAGACAAGAAAGCATTAGTGAACTCATGGCCAGCTTTTAAGATGGGTAGAGGCCTCTCCCAAAGCTGCAGCAGCAGAACACAAACTGGCAAAACCCAAATCCCTCAGGTGTTTTCGGGGGATGGGGATATCTTCAGGATGAACTACTGTGGACAATGCTATGCACTCTTGAAATTGAGCAAAAGATCTAGCAAAGCCACAGAAACAAAAGAGAGCATTATTTCAATACAAAGTATTCCTTAACGTGACTACACTGGCTGACAAAGTGTCAAACAAGTTACAGTGATGTTTGTCAACTCACTTTAGAAAAATCCACAAAACCGCTTGCCATAGGCTGATGAAAAATGTTAGAGGGGGCTACCATTCCAGAATCATCTCTCTCCATTGGTTGATGTTGGGAGAATGTGCTTGGGTCTGATAATTGTTGATGCATTGGATGGTTCCCCATCACAGATTGCGACCAACCTGATAAGCCTTCTGGAAAGCATAATTGAAAACAAAGTTTTATATTTATTTGGATAAAACAACAAAACATTACCACTGTTATTACCAAACGTTACCAAATGTTATTGAAATCTTTCCTCTGAAGAGCTCAAAGCGTATTTATCACAGTCTTGCTAGCCAAAGAAACCAGTTCCTGAAAAACTAGGTAAAGTCCTCTGAATACTCTACTTTACCCTGTCTTTCAAAAGATTAAGTGCTGTCTGAAAGAACTCAAATGATTACTTAAGAGAGAAAGGACACACACTTTGAATCTTTTGTTTCTGATCAACTCTATGTATTACCTCAACCAATATTCCAGACTCTGAAATTGAATTAACTCCTCAAAGACATAAACACCCTTCCCTAATTGAGTGTTAAACAAAGGAACTAAGTTTTTTTTTTGTTTTTCTAAGGAACTAAGTTTTACTGGCAAACCTACAACTTACTTAAGATATCCCTCCAGAGAGAGAGCAAGGCAATTGTACCTGACACAGCATTGACACCAAATGACCAGATTCCACTGTGTCCAACGGGAGCGACAAAACTGGTCCCCACCGGGGCTTGTGCAACAGACCCTCCTTGCCGAATTCGGGCCAGTCTCTCTGTTCCAATTGGGGGAGGTATCTTTCGATCCTGACTGGCACTGACTCCTTTTGGTTGGCCCAATGTTGGTGGGGCAGAAGTGGCTGAAAGAGGTGAAGATGATTCCGAAGAAACAGATGGAATAGGAGAGTCACCTGGTGGCAAAATATTTCTCTATTGTTTTATTACATATAAAAACTATAAGAATATGAGAAACCTTGTTGGAAAGATCTATTCCACAACATAGGTTCTGTAAAGAAATTTTCATTTTAAAAGAACTTTCAAATAAAATATAATTTCTATAAACATTATCCTATGCTACTTCTGCCTATAATAAGTATACAATAGTCTAAAAAATGTTTTCCCAACTGAACTAAACAATGCTAGAAAGGAAGCAGGACACATTTGCTTTTATTCTAGCTCTAAATAATCTTCTCAAAACATTATTGTCACTTTTTTTTTTTTGAGACAGAGTTTTGCTCTTGTTGCCCAGGCTGGAGTGCAATGGTGTGATCTCGGCTCACCACAACCTCTGCCTCCTGGGTTCAAGCGATTCTCCTGCCTCAGCCTCCTGGGAAGCTAGGATTACAGGCATGCACCACCTCACCCAGCTAATTTTGTATTTTCAGTAGAGATGGGGTTTCTCCATGTTGGTCAGGCTGGTCTCGAACTCCTGACCTCAGGTGATCTGCCCGTCTCAGCCTCCCAAAGTGCTGGGATTACAGATGTGTGCCACCACGCCCGGCCACATTTTAAAATTAACTTAAATGTGGCAATATTTGCACAGTACCTAGCATATTTTCTAGAAAACATCTGGTGACCCTTTATACCTGTTAGTCTTTCTTTGTTCCCTTTCTACAGCCCTTTTTTTTTTCTTTAAGGAAATAAGGTCAAATGTTAGCAAAGCATTATATGATTTTGATTCACAGCTTTGCTTCTTAATGGAACTCTTGGGTGATTTGGGTAATTTTCCTTGTCAAAAAAGTCAATACTGACTACCTCATGATGCTCATTTAAAAAAAAAAAAATCCAATTCTGTTCAATTCCACATACTTCATCTGTTCTAAACATTGAAATAAACAGAACGAAGGGGCCAGGCAGGTGGCTCACGCCTGTAATCTCAGCACTTTGGGAGGCTGAGGCAGGCGGATCACCCAAGGTTAGGAGTTTGAGACCAGCCTGGCCAATATAGTGAAACCCTGTCTCTACTAAAAATATAAAAATTAGCCAGGCATAGTGGCAGGCACCTGTAATCCCAGCTGCTCGGGAGGCTGAGGCAGAAGAATCGCTTGAGCCTGGGAGGCAGAAGGTGGAGTGAGCCAAGATCACGCTACCGCACTCCACCCAGAGCAACAGAGCAAGACACTGTCTCAATCAATCAATCAATCAATCAATCAGTCAATCAATAGAACAAAGGAATATTTTAACTTATTAAAGGCAATACAGTTTCATAAAATGTAAAAATACATGAGAAATCACACCAAACTGACCATATACATAAATTCAACTTCTTTCCAGATTTAAGAAATAATTTTATAACACTGCTTCCAAAGGGTCCTTTTGCAAAACTACTTGCAGTACCTGTTTTTTGTTTTTTTTTGTTTTTTTGTTTTTTTTTAAATAGGGACAGGGTCTTGCTGTTGCCCAGGCTGGTCACCAACTGCTGGGCTCAAGCGATCCTCTTGCCTAGGCCTCCCAAAGTGCTGGGATTATAGGTGTCAGCCACTGCACCCAGTCTAGTACCTCTTTTCTTGATCCAGGTTCTAGGGTAAAACATTTTTGGCTTGAAAGAATAATTCTCAAGTTTTCTATGCTACAAATGACTGACAATTTTTTCACATGACCACAGAACAAACCTTGGGCATCTGTATACCATTTAGTTTACTAAAGTTACAACATGGTGTTATAGCTGAAATAAATGATTTAATAACTTATTCAAAACTCTTTGGGAAGAGTTCCGCCAGGATTCCTACATGAGTTTGAGGCGCTTGTCCAAGGATGGGGAGAAAAATGTTGTCTGTTGAAACTAGGAGTCCCAACAGGAGCTGGCCCTTGCAGGAAAACCCTTGTTCCTGGTATGCCGGAAAAACTTGTCAGAGGAGCAGAAGAGGAAGATGGGGAGCTGCCTGATGGGTCAATGGATGGTAACCCTGAAATAAAACAGGTCCAAGACATCCAATTAGCTAAAACTTTAAAATTGAAAGCCCAAGAAGACTTCCACCAAGGTGAGATAAGCTGTAAAAATAACCAAACAAATAAATAAAAGATAGCATGTGGCTCATTTTCATAGACCACAGCAAAAATAATCCATCTATGTGATACTGTATGGCCAAATCCATTTTTTTCTTACAGTCCAGAAGAATATTGCCAAACAGCACTACATACAGAAAAATGGGCTCAATGTTTAAGAGTGTCAGTCACCTGGAGTAATGTTCTAGATGAATCTCAAAGCTTTTAAATGGAAGGGATATGAAATGAGACTATGCTGTAACTAAGTAGCGCCCAGCAGTAACTTCTGCATTCTCTTTTGTAGTCAATCTCAAAGTACAGCTTTTCATCTATATAACTATAGTCATTTCCTACAGAAGATAAGTAACAAAATCTACCAATGTTTCCTTCCTCACAAGGAGGAAAAGCATACTACTAAGGATAATTTCAGCATTCTATCTGATAGAAAATATCAACAGTTGCAAAATATATCAAAGTTTCTATCTAGCTTGTATAAATCTGAACTTAGCCATCTTCTTAAACTCTATTACTTTCTCTGAAGAATGTATTAGGAAAAGAGGATGAAGGTCTGGAAAAGGATTATGGTTTCTTATTTCAGGAAAAAGTAGTTAATATCAACAATGATTGTCAAAATTTCTTTTAAGCAGGTCTTATTTTCAGTTTGATTTCCACATCATTAAAAAAAAAAGACTTTGAGATGTAATTCACATACTATATAATTCACCCATTTAAAGTATATAATTCAATGGATTTTAGTATATTCACAGGATTATGCAACCATCACCACAATCAATGTTAGAACATTTTTGTCTCCCTTAAAAGAAACTCCATACGCATTACCTGTCATTCACTGGGTCCTCACCCTCATATTTCCATTTCTTTCTTTTTTTTTTTTTTTTGAGACAGAGTCTCGCTCTGTCAACCAAGCTGGAGTGCAGTGGCGCGATATCGGCTCACTGCAAGCTCCGCCTCCTGGGTTCATGCCATTCTCCTGCCTCAGCCTCCCGAGTAGCTGGGACTACAGGCATCCACCACCACACCCGGCTAATTTTTTGTATTTTTAGTAGAGACGGGGTTTCCCCATGTTGGCTAGGATGAGCTCGATCTCCTGACCTCATGATCCTCCCACCTTGACCTCCCAAAGTGCTGGGATTACAGGTATAAGCCACTGCGCCTGGCCTCATATTTCCATTTCTAAGCAATCACTAATCTTTTGTCTCTATAGATTTGCCTACTCTGGACATGTGGGTAACTTAATGCATTCCCTACTTATTTCAGACTTTCATTATCGTGGTAGGCAACAGTAGGAATTATTACTTTGTGCTTTCCTGGACAAAAAAAATTAAATTTTCTAGTGCTAACCAAAGTAGATGTTAGCAAAATCTAGAGGTAGTGAGAATACTGAATGTGGCTTTAAAAAGTCTGTAAGTAGGAAATGAATCATTTCTTTTGTTTTTTATTGAAATGAATAATTTTTATAATAACCTCTTGTTTTTTTTGTTTGTTTGTTTGTTTTTGTTTTGAGACAGGGTCTTGCTCTGTCACTCAGGCTAGAGTGCAGTGGTGTGATCACAGCTCACTGCAGCCTCGACTTCTGGGCTCAAGCAATCCTCTTGCCTAGCCCCACTGAGTAGCTGGGACTACAAACGTGTGCCACCACACTGAGCTAATTTTTTTTTTTTTTTAGATGGAGTCTTGCTCTGTCACCCAGGCTGGAGTCCAGTGGCATGATCTCGGTTCACTGCAAGCTCTGCCTCCTGGGTTCACGCCATTCCCCTGCCTCAGCCTCCCGAGTAGCTGGGACTACAGGTGACCGCCACCACGCCCGGCTAATTTTTTTGTATTTCAAGTAGAGACAGGGTTTCACCGTGTTAGCCAGGATGGTCTCGATCTCCTGACCTCATGATCCGCCCGCCTCGGCCTCCCATAGTGTTGGGATTACAGGCGTGAGCCACCGCGCCTGGCCCCACTCTGAGCTAAGTTTTAAATTTATTTTTTATCGAGACAGGGTCCCACTATGCTGCCCAGGGTGGTCTCGAACTCCTGGGTTCAAGTGATCCTCTTGACTTGGCCTTCCAAAGTACTCAAATTACAGATGTGAGCCACTACACCTGGCCACTATCAATATTTTTACAGTGAAATCTGTCAGTCTTTTGTAAAGATCATGATAGCCTTTTTTTTTTTTTTGGAGACAGAATCTCGCTCTGTTGCCCAGGCTGAGTACAGTGGCACAATCTCGGCTCACTGAAACCTCTGCCTCCCGGGTTCAAGCAATTCTCCTGCCTCAGCCTACCGAGTAGCTGGGATTACAGGCACCCACCACCATGCCTGGCTAAATTCAGTATGTTTGGTAGAGACGGGGGTTTCCCCATGTTGGTCAGGCTGGTCTTGACCTCCTGACTTCAAGTGATCCACCCCACTCAGCCTCCCAAAGTGCTGGGATTACAGGTGTGAGCCACCATACCCAGCTGATAATGACAGCTTTTAAAGATCATGATGTCATTTTAGGGACATAAATGTAGATGTCACATAAATGTACTTTTTATTAGCTTTACTGAGATTTAATTCACAAACCATATAATTTACTCATTTGAAGTTATACTATTCAGTAGCTTTTTGTATATTCACAGAATTGTGCATTCATGACCACATCAATTTTAGAACATTTCTGTTATCCTAAAAAGAAACTCTGAAGCTGAGCATGGTGGCTCACACCCGCAATCATATCTCTTTGGCATGCCAAGGTAGAATAAGTGCTTGAAGCCCAGGAGGTTGAGGCTTCAATGAGCCATGATCACGCCACTGCACTCGAGCCTGGGCAACAGAGTGAGGCCCTGTCTTTAAAAAAAAAAAAAAAAAGAAAAGAAAAGAAAAGAAAAGAAAGAAAAGGAAATTCTGCACTCCTAAGCTATCACCTACCCTCCAATCATCCCTTCATTCTAGGTAACCACTAATCTACTTTCTATCTCTATGGATTTGCTAATCTGGATGTTTCACATAAATAGAATCATAAAATAAATATCTGGTCTTTTGTGACTGGCTTCTTTCATTTAGTAAAATGTTTTCAAAGTTCATCCATATTATAGCATGAATCAGTACTTCTTTTTTTTTTTTTTTTTGAGACTGAGTCTTGCTCTGTCGCCAGGCTGGAGTGCAGTGGCACAATCTCAGCTCACTGCAAACTCCACCTCCCATGTTCAAGTGATTCCCCTGCCTCAGCCTCCTGAGTAGCTGGGACTACAGGAGCGCACCACCACACCCAGCTAATGTTTTGTATTTTAGTAGAGACAGGGTTTTACCATGTTGGCCAGGCTGGTCTCGAACTCCTGACCTCATGATCCGTCCACCTTGGCCTCCCAAAGTGCTGGGATTATAGGCGTGAGCCACCACGCCCGGCCCTTTATTTCTTTTTATACCAAATACAAAATATTACATTCTATAGATATACCACATTTTGTTTATCTGCTTGTCAGTTAATGAACATTTGGTTGTTTCTACATTTTGGCTATTATGAATAATGTTGCTATGAACATTGGTTTTTCTACAGACATATATCTTCCCTAGGAGTAGAATAATGGGATCATATGATCACTCATGTCTAACTTTCTGAGGAACTGTGAAACTGTTTTTCCAAAGCAGATGTACCATTTTACATTCCTACCTACCGTGTGTGATGGTTTCAATTGTCTCTATATCTTTCCCCATCTTCTTAAGTATTACTATTTTTTTTTTCTGACAGTCTCTTTTGTTCCGGCTGGAGTGCTGTGGCATGATTTCAGCTTACTGCAACCTCCGTCTTCTGGGTTCAAGTGATTCTTGTGCCTCAGCCTTGCAAGTAGCTGGGACTACAGACCTGCACCATCATGCCCGGCCATTTTTTATATTTTTAGTAGAGACGGGGTTTCACCACATTGGCCAGGCTGGTCTCAAACTCCTGACCTCATGTAAACCCCTCGCCTCAGCTTCCCAAAGTGCTGGGATTGCAGGCATGAACCACCAAGCTCAGTCAGTATTACTACCTCTTACCTGAAAACTAGGAAAGTAAACTATATCCATGAAAAGAGCATCAACAAAAGAAACCATACAAGCAGTTAAGAAATGGGGCCAAGCTTATTAATCCCAGGACCTAGAAGGAAGGTCAAGGATTAATGCTTTCTATCACATCCTGGGTACTGGCAATGAGCTCTTCTTTCACCCTGAGGCTTCTCAAATTCTATACTACTTTCCCCAAATGAAAAGTCATAATATATGCCTATTTACAGAGAGGAAGGGAAAAAAATTTAGAGAATATTTTGGACCACAGATAGCCATATGCAGCCTTCTATTTCTATTTGAAATACAATATAACAACTATATTTTCCTGAATAGACAAGTAAATGGAAACATATCTGAAATGAAAGCTAAGGCTATGCCATATTCATAACTCACAAATAATTTTAAACAACATTGATCAGTTTATAATTAGCAACAAGGTAGCATGGGATATGGGGCAGTTTTCCAACTGGAAGAGAAATGCTAAGAGGCAATAGTGCCACATTCTGGGTCAGTCATATTTTTAATTTGTTTTTCAGAACACTGCAGATTAGACTAAAATTTGGCTCTTAAACTACAGAAAATAGATTCTGGTTCTCCAAATACCTCCAAGCCAAAACTGACCTCAAATCTGTCTATATATTTCTCATAATGCCTCAGCAGCTAATTTATAATTTCAAAGAAGCAATAGCTAAATCTATGTTGGTCTTTCAAAAGTAAGAGCCTATAAATGACTGGGTCTCCTCAAATAGCTGTATCTAGGCTGGGCGCAGTGGCTCATGCCTGTAATCCTAGCACTTTGGGAGGCCAAGGCAGGCGGATATTGCCTGACCTCAGGAGTTCGAGACCAGCCTGGGCAATATGGCGAAACCCTGTCTACTAAAAATACAAAAAATTAGCCGGGCATGGTGGCGCATGCCTGTAGTCCCAGCTACTTGAGAGGCTGAGGCACAAGAAATGCTTGAGCCTAGGAGGTGGAGGTAGAAGTGAGCTGAGACTGGGCCACTGCACTCCAGCCTGGGTGATAGAGTGAGACCCTGTCTCAAAAAAATAAAACAAAATAATAAAAATAAAAAATAAAATACATAAAAAACGAATAGCTACACCTAAAATAAACAACACAGAGTACTAGTAAACAATGTAAATTATGAACTGGTGCCTAAACACCTTTGCAACTTCAATTTTTTAAATCTAAGAAATGCAAACAATCACTATGATTTTTTTAAAGTCTATAAATTTGGAATCCTTGAAACATCCCTGGAATTTTTTTTTATTAACATGAATAGACACCAATTTTATTAATACGAATAGACACCAAGAAAATGGACTTACACCATGGTGTAACTCCCTTACTATGAGGGACAGAAAGATCATAGAGAGAATCTAAAGCAGCTCATTATATGTGAGTGATTTACCTCTTGCTACTTTTTTTGTCCACTTAAGGTGAGATTAGGCCGTAGGCGCTCCAAACTGAACTGCAGCAATAGTTAATAACTTACCAACTGGACTAGTAGAAACTCGCTGGGAAGGTGGTCTGAAGCCAGGTGCCTTTGAGTTATCAGGATGCATGTTTTCCAAGTGTCCAAGCACTGAGTTACCCAGGAACGCTGACTGAACAGTGAAAGAGGCATCTGCAGCCACTCGTGAGGACAGTGGACCATCTCCCCAGCCCTGGTTAGATGGCACCTGACTACTATCAAAAAGACTGCTGAAGTGATTGAAAAGTGTGGCTGGGCCAAATGTAGGTGGCAAAGATTTATTTGCTGGGTTTATGTGCATCTGAGAACCATTCATAATGTTCACAGCTGAAGAAAGCTGCACTGTAGCTGGTGGGCCTTGAGGTGGTGTTAAAGTAACTGGATTTGTAACAAAAATAGACTGGGGATCCTGGTGAATAGTTGCATTTGGTACCATGGAGTAAAAAGAACCTCTGGGCTGCATTCGATGAGAAACTCGAGGTGCTGGTACAGCTAACTGAGGTAAATTACTGGTGTCCTGATTATCAGCAGCAACCATTCTGGGTGATGTCAAAGTCAATGGAGCAGGTTCTGAGTTAGATGCAAAAGGCATTGACATAGGACTTAAATCACACACACTGGATGGCTGTGCCTCCTCTTGTGTGTTACCAGAAGTAGGAGTGGGACTACTGGATGGGTGAGTTTCTGGAGCTCCCGGGGTGTTGCTGGCAGAGCTACTGCAACTGTTTGCAGCTGAAGATGGGGTACATAGGTTTGCCATGGGCTGGTCCTGTGTGGACACTTTCTCTTTGGTGGGTGGCACAGCAGAGAAAGACTCCATCTTTTGTGAAGAAAGCTGTGCTTGAGAAGTACTTGCAGGTAGAAATGTGGTAGGAGCTTGCCCGCTAGTGATAGGTGCAGAGGAGACAGAAGGCAGGGAACTACAAGTGCTTGTCACAGAAGAAATCACTGTTGCTGGAGGACTCGTCTTAGGCACACAGGCAAACAACTGCTTTCTGACTGATGAAGGAGTCCGGGTATTAGTGACACACAGTTGCTGATTGGCAGCAACTACAGAAGAGACAGTGATAGGACAACTGGCAGTAGCTAGTCCAGCAGACTCTGAGGGTAAAACAGTCCCGTTCTGGTTAGGTAGACGGCTTGTGTTATTATGCTTTGGAGAGCTATTTGTGTTGCCAGGATTCACAGGTCTCACTGGGAATGGTCCCCACGTGTTAGGAGAAGGTGAGAAGGTTCCTCCAAACTGGGCCATGGGTAAGCGAGGATGCCGAATCTGCTGCATAGTTTGAGCAGCCAGCAGGGCAAAATGAGGGTGAGGATAAGCTAAGGGTAGAGAAACTGGGAAAGAAGAACGTACATTTGTTGGAACATTCTTATTAAGTTTATTAGCGGGCTGGAACGTAGATAACGTTGTTGCCTGTGAAGTTACAAGAGTTGGAGCACCCAAAGGAAATGCATTTTTACTGGAAGCTGCTGTGGTACCTACTCCAGATGAGAAGTTAGCATGAATTGATTTGGTGCTGGCAGGTGTTCTGATATGATTTTTAGGAATCAAGTCTTCCAGTTCCTTAGCAGGATCTTGAATGAGTGCATTGATTAGTTGAACTGCATATCTTGTTGATTCTGTGCCACCCCTGGGGAAAAAAAAAAACAGAAACAAGACCAAAAACATTAAAAAAAGAAAACAAACAGGTAATCTTAACCATCAAATAAAGTTCTTAATTATACCATACCTAACAAAGGTATGCTTCTTATAATTTCTACTCAGAACTAGCAGTATACATTTTGCACAATTACCTTATTGTGATCATTCTCTCGCCATTCTTATCTTTTTGTTTATCCACATCAATATGGGCACCAGTAACATCTTGTATTGCAGTGATGTTGCATCCTCCTCTTCCCATTATCCTGGACACCACTGAGGCTGGAACAGACAATTTCTTTGACCTATAAAATGAAGAATACACATGAACTTATGAAATTAAATGTCTCTTTATTAAAAAAGATGTCTCAGTAAGTATGTTCATGGACATTTTGTAGAATAACATTTCTCAAATGCTAAAGAGGAAATTATTAAAAGTTTTTATTTTAGAAACTGATCTCTTGTAATATTGAATTGAATTTAGTAAAGTTAAAAATTACATTGCCTCTGCAGTTTCAGAGAACCTAACTTTAAAAATTACACTGCCATTTAAAACAAAAATTATATTTAAATCACTCACAATATAAGCATTCAAATCTGCCCAAAATAATACACATCAACTAAACTACAATGACCCTGTTAAAATAGTGAATACCATATTATTAAAATCCACACAGAATAACCATGCTAGCTTATTCATTTTAAACCAGTATCAACAGCTCATACTTAGCAACAAAAAATAAAGCCTCAGGTCAATGATGAGCTGACATGTATTCTGAATCTAAAGTTGATTATTAGTACTTTAGTTCTAGAATTACTGAGACATGAGAAAGAAAAAAAGAAAGAGAAAGCCTTTACATTTGAACTACATAAAAAGCAACTCAGGTTATCCCAAAAAGCCAAAATTTCTTGTGTCATATAAAATATGCATGCAAAATTTATACACTGCTTCTAATTTTACTTTAGCATATTCTGGATTTAGTGTGGCAATGCAGTTTAAAATAATGACCACATTCAAATTATTCATTAATTAACTAGGTAGCCATCTCACATGAGAAAGGGAAAATACATGAAAGTTAAAAAGATGGCCGGGCACAGTGGTTCAAGCCTGTAATCCCAGCACTTTGGGAGGCCGAGACGGGTGGATCACGAGGTCAGGAGATCGAGACCATCCTGGCTAACACGGTGAAACCCCGTCTCTACTAAAAAATACAAAAAACTAGCCGGGCGAGGTGGCGGGCGCCTGTAGTCCCAGCTATTCGGGAGGCTGAGGCAGGAGAATGGCGTGAACCTGGTAGGCAGAGCTTGCAGTGAGCGGAGATCCGGCCACTGCACTCCAGCCTGGGTGACAGAGCGAGACTCCGTCTCAAAAAAAAAAAAAAGAAAAAAGAAAGTTAAAAAGATGGAACTAATTCTATTTACCTTCGTACAACTTCTTTCCACCCTTCTTCTCTTTTCTGACCCCTTTTAGGGCTAGTGAGATTCAGCTTTATGTTTGGAGAGCTTAATGGCAATGACACTGTCTTATAGCTGGTTGACAAGGAATTAGGATTCACTTCACCTTCAAGTCTAAGAAGAGACAAATAGCAAGTACAATAAAAGATAAGTTTTAAGATAGAAACTCAAGGGAATATTCCTTTATAGCCAGAGTTATGCTGAAATATTAGTATTAAACTTTGGCACATCAAATAATCAATGAGTCAGAAAAACAGAAATAGAGCAAAGAGCCCATCATTTATTTTAGTATTAAAATGGATTCAGATGCCAAAAATTAGACCAAAATCAATAAAAATGACATAGTTAGATAAAATCAAAGCATACAAATACTTTCAACTTCAGACTATGAATCCTATAAACATTTCTAATAATCTCATTTCCCAACTAGCACATGATCAAGAGGACATGGGTGAATTTCAGTTTTGAATATTGAAGACAGATAATGTGGTAGAATTCAATTGTTTAACACAACTTGTACTTGGATAATATACTTCAAATTCTTGTGCCAGGCATGAAGAAGGAAAGGTGCAGGTAGAGTTAACAAATCAGAAACATTTACCGTGTCTGAGTTTTGGAAGTAGCAGTACTTGTCTTTTCTTCTTGGGAATGAAGGAGCAGTGAGGGGTATTTAGAGGAATTCACATCCATCACAAAATTTAACTCTTGGCTTTTACCACCACTGCTACTCTCACTGTTGCAGTCTGTGCTGTCCAAGTTATCTGAATCACTATTCCCACCTGCACCACCACCTCTAGGTTCTCCATTTATTTTATTTTTATCTGCCTTTTGTTGGGCTAAAGACATATGTTGTTCTGGTAAAATTAAATGTGCTGTAGGAGGGGTTTCTTTTGTTTTGTTCTTCTTATTTTTCCGATTGGCGCTGGGAGTTGTCACCACGTTGGCCCGTTTTTTCCCAAACACATTTGTGAATGTTGCAGATGTTGCAGAGATTCCAATTGTGGTGGTGGTGGTTGCACTAGGAGGTTCTATGGGAACTTCTTGCTCCACTGAAATGGTTAAAAAGAATAAAAATCATACTGAGAGTCACAGATCTCAAAACAAATTCTGACAGAATATATTTGATAATTCATAATAATTCAGACTTTTACATCATATTTTCCTTTCACCAGTATTCACTAAGAAATAAAAAAATCTTTATTTATTCATTTTTTTGAGATGGAGTCTTGCTGTGTCACCCAGGCTAGAATGGAGTGGTGCGATATCGGCTCACTGCAACCTCTGCCTCCCGGGTAGCTGGGACTACAGGCACACGCCACCATGCCCGGCTAATTTTTGTACTTTTAGTAGAGATGGGGTTTCACCATGTTGGCCAGGCCAGTCTCAAACTCCTGACCTTGTGATCCACCCGGCTTGGCCTCCCAAAGTGCTGGGATTACAGGCGTGAGCCACTGCACCCAGGTGAAATAAAGCAATCTTTTACTGTGACCAGGCGCAGTGGCTCATGCCTGTAATTCCAGCACTTTGGGAGGCCAAGGCAGGTGGATTGATTACTTGAGCTCAGGAGTTCAAGACCAGCCTGGGCAACATAATGAAATCTTGTCTCTACAAAAAATACAAAAATTAGCTGGGGGTGGCGGTGCACACCTGTGGTCCCCGCTACTTGGGAGGCTGAGGTGGGAGGATCACCTGAACCTGGGGAGCAGAGGTTGCAGTGAGCCGAGATTGCGCCACTGCACTCCAGTCTGGGTGGCAGAGGGAGACCTCATCTCAAAAAAACACACAAAAAAAATCTTTACTGTTGTTAGCCTAATAAATAATTTACTATTATTTGTTGTTAGAACAAATATACAATATATTTTCTTGTCTAAGGTAGTATAGGACACACATATTAGCAATATTCTTAATATTCTTTTTTTTTTTTTTTTTTGGCCCCTGTCACCCAGGCTGGAGTGCAATGGTGTGAACTCGGCTTACCACTTCCGCCTCCCGGGTTCAAGCAATTCTCCTGCCTTAGCCTCCTAAGTAGCTGGGATTACAGGCATGTGCCACCACGCCTGCAATCCCAGGCTAATTTTGTATTTTTTTTTTTTTTAGTAGAGACGGGGTTTCACAATATTGGTCAGGGTGGTCTCAAACTCCTGACCTTGTGATCCGCTCTTGGCCTCCCAAAGTGCTGGGATTACAGGCATGAGCCACCACACCCGGCCCAATATTCTTAATATTCTTAATTCTAGTCTCATGAACCCAAACCACAATATAGTTTGAATTTAGGACACTTTTCAAATTGTATTTTAGAATTAGAATTCAAGTAGAACAAAATTATTTGCCTACTACAAGCACTGCCAGACAGTACAATAAATAACTCTTTGAGAGTACTAAACCCATCTCTACTGACATTTCAGGCCTCTATATCCTTGAGCCTGAATCTCAGCTAAAAATAAACTGAGAAACTGTAGTTCTAATCAGTAGAGGAAGAGTTACAGAAGAATCTCAAAAAACGGTTGCAAACCTCTTACTGTATTGCTTTTAGTATATATGCAATGTTTTACAAGGTGACTTAAATTACAACTGAATTTCTTCAGATTATGTGCTTGCTTTCTCCTTGTTTCTCTGTATTAATTTGCAATGCAAAACACTTTGAAATACTTACTATAAAAGTCATTGTCCATTTCAGATTAATAAAGTAATCAAATGTTTAACTAGAGTTAACTAGAGCAAAGAGCACTCAAAATGAAGTTGATAAACAAAGGAGAATTTTCTCATTAATTCAGATGGTTTGTTTCTCACCATCTTCATCATTCTCCTCTTCATCTTCATCCTCTGGTAGTTCTGAATTCTCCTTAGGTTTGTTTTCTTCATCTTCCTCCTGTTTCCTTTTCTGTTCCTCTTTTTTCTTTTTTCTCTTTTCTTTTCTTTTTTCTCTTTTAGCGGCAAGAGCCTGCTTTCTGCTCTCTTCTCTTGACTGCAAATAAAGCAGGTATATAATTTTACCAATAAGGCAGTAATGTAAAATAAAGAATGAAATGATACACAGGGATCTTCATGGATGTTATTCTCAAAACACATTTATAAATGCCATCAAGAAAAAATAAACTGGACGCTATCAAAATTAAAAACTTTTGTACTTCAGAGGAATCATCAAGAAAGTAAAAAATCAGCTGGGTGTGGTGGCTCACACCTGTAATCCCAGCACTTTGAGAGGCCAAGGTCGGTGGATCACCTGAGGTCAGGAGTTTGAGACTAATGTAGCCAACATGGTGAAACCCCATCTCTACTAAAAATACAAAAATTAGCTGGGTGTGCTAGCACGGACTTGTAGTCTCAGCTACTCGAGAGGCTGAGGCAGGACAATCACTTTAACCTGGGAGGCAGAGTTTGCAATGAACCAAGATCATGCCACCACCGCACTCTAACCTGGGCGACAGAGTGAGACTGTCTCAAAAAAAAAAAAAAAAAAAAGTAAAAAGTCAACCTATAAAATGGGACAAATATTTTTACAAATCATACAACTGGTAAGGGACTTGTATCTATAATATATAAAAAAAATCTTACAACTCATGAATGAAGACAGTCCATTTAAAAAACAGATTATGGGCCGGGCGCGGTGGCTCAAGCCTGTAATCCCAGCACTTTGGGAGGCCGAGACGGGTGGATCACGAGGTCAGGAGATC